AGTTTTTTTAGTGTGCAACTTTTTAAAATAAGTTTTTTTAATACATGCGTTTTCTAATGCTTAGAGCACTCTCGTGCAAAGGAAAAACACAGACCCACTTAAAATTGCCACTCAAGTGCTAAACTTGCAAATGTACTGAAAAAAAACTGAATGGTTTCCGTAAGTTAAACTTTTGCATTTGCATAATACATTTTCATTTTTTTATTACTAAAAATTACAATAAAAAATATATACTGTATATTCAATATTTTGTTGAGCAATTGAATATCAGGATTGGGAAGTAACGCGTTACTTGTAACGTCGTTACCGTTACAGTTACTTTTTTCGGTAACTGTAACGGTAACAGCGTTACAAATTTTGTTTGTAACGGAAAAAGTAATTTCGTTACATTTTTTGGTAAGGAGTAACAAATTTAAGTTATTTTTATCGTTACTTTTTTCGAATTTACTCGGTATAATTTTCACGTAAAGTTTGTGTTATATATAAAAAAACTAACGGAAATTGTAACAACTCGCTATTTTTTGAGTAACGGTAACGGAAAAGAGTTATTTTTTAAAATTGGTACGAGTAACGGTAACGATATAATATATATTAAACACATATATAATTTATAATTCACATTTATAATTACAACAATTTATAATTCACAATTTGGCTTATCGACGGATTGCCAATTGCTTACAATATAAGAACAAAATGATCAAAAAGAGAGAATTGTTTAAAAAATTCCCCGAGTCCCAATAAAATTCCATGAGAATTCCCTGATTTTTTCAGGCATGAAAGAATTCCTTAAGAATTCCAGGTTTTCCATGTTTTTCTAGAGAGTACATCCTGGTTTCTGCATGTATGCGCAATTGTGTTCAGGTGAATCATTCTTGAGTGCAATTTACGCGTGATTCACTTGCGTGCGTGTTAGTTGATCACCCGATGAATGAGACATCAGCAAATGGAATTAAACGTAACGTTTTTAAACTATTTATTTATCATGTATATGTGTGTAATTTTGAAATAAGCACACAAGATTTTTTTCAAGCAAATCGAATCGTATACGGTTTGATAAATCTGACTTCTCTTTTAAAGAGAGAATCTATCTAATATTCATGAAGCGAAAAAATGAAGACATCGCGCGTGAGTCGAGTAGTTGTTCAGATAATTCAATGACCGTAATTAACGTACAATTGATGACGCGCGCACGGACTGATCAACGATTAAATAAGACGGTTATGAGAATGGAAAAAAAATATAGGAAAGAACACTCATTAGAGATAAATCCATACTTTTCCAAGGAAATTACTGTGATTACTTGTTAATTACGACATCTGTGAATTGTCCATCACAGAACACATTTATCTACATTATATCTCCATTTATTTTCTCTCTCTTTCTCTCTACACATATTAAAATTTATTTTTCTAAAATTTAGCACGTTCAAAAATAAAGACAAAATAATTTCGCCGCACATTTTGTCTTACGATCAAAAGCAAGTTGATCTTCTTCGAAAAATTATCATCCCGACAGTACTTTATCACGGATAATATCTCGGGAACAACCATAAAAAAAATTGACTGAAACTTCAGACATAATGTGTACAGCTTTTTTGCAGATACACTATCTGAATTATCAGACAGAATGCTATCTGAATTTTCGGGCATACTTCAATTTTCAGACACACTCCTCTGAACTTTCAGAAAAACGTGTCTGATTAAAACAGATTGTTTGAAATTTCTTTCAGACAACCAGATCTGAAAATTCAGACAAAAATGTGTCTGAATCTTTAGAAAATTTTTGACAGTGAGATTCGAATCATAGATCTCGATTTAAAATCCGCCATCTGAGTGCAAAGCGCAAGATTGATTTGACGTGCCTCTAAATATTACGTTACGTGCTTCCGATATCGAAGAGCCCTGAAGCTTCTGTTTTCAAACGTGCGTTTCGGGGAAAAAGGGAGCGCGGAGGCCTCTCTTTCTCTTTCTCTCTCTTTCTCTCTCTCTCTTTCATCGACGACGTGGCGCCCGAGGTGTGGCCGGCGCCTCCGTTGAAGAAGCGCCGAGTCAGAATCGCATCGGGACGATGCAACGAGCAGCAAGACTTTAAGCGGGCACTTAAGAAACCGCCTGTCAGTCAGGAGCGTCACTAATTTTCCCGGGCTTTTTGCCCGGGCGCGCCTGCCTTCCCCTCCTCCCTTCTCTTCTACCCCTTCCTCACTGGTTTCTCTCGCGTCCTTTCGCGCGGGCACACGTGCCCGCTTTGGGTACCCTGCCGTCATTCTCGTCCTAATTAAGCGCGGCTGAATGTCAACATGGAGAAAATTAATTAGCGCGTCCTCGGACTCGATTTCACGGGCCCGAGATATTGCGAAGATCTCGAAGCGCGCTGATCATGCTGATACGAATTATAATTTATATCGTTTTTTTTTTTTCGAGGGACATATGATAAAAATTGTTATATATTATTATATATTAATGCAAAAATTTTTTATTTTTTTTATTCTTTTTCAAACTATTTTTGCAATAATTGATACATTATTAACAGCTCGCTCAGCTTAATGTTTTAGAGATTCGAGACGCGTATAAACACAATGATACAGTCGGTGTTATTTCTTTTTTTAAATATGATGACATGTACAAGCATAAGCTAAAATGACGAGAAACATACATATACATACATATAACAGTAATTTACGCACTATACAAAGAGTTGTGAATCAGAAAGTATCCTTTAGCCACTGCTGTCCATTACCTACGCCGATTCAACGTAATTTCACGAACAAACTGCTAGACTGTAGAAATAAATAGCCGTAACGATTACAGTCGCGTATGCGCGTAAGCGAGGCCACCGTGTCATGATATGGGAAACGAGCCAGCGTCTTTAAAGAAAAAAAAAGAGAGAGAAAAAATGGTGAATGACGCACAATTACGCTTGAAAAATTGAACGGCCACCGAAATGCAGGTAGTGGTAGTCTTCCTCCACGAGCGGCGCAACGCTTGGCAGCGCCCGCTGCCTGTCATTACGCCATTCGCCCTCCACCGGTAATTGACAGTCTAATGACACAGTCTAGAGAGTTCGCCGCTCGCCTCGTCTTTTCGTACATCACGATCACGTACGGGGGATTCTCATTAATGATTCGCCTTCTTTGTGCACGATCGGCACCGCTTGTCTAAACTAAACGGCCGCCGGCGGGGAATCGCGGAGTCATGACTTGTGGGTGTTCCCTTGCTAATCACCGCGCGTTCAACACGAGAGAACTGTGATAATTAGTACATGGCGAAATTAATGAAGCGAGGATTTTGCACATCTCGAATGTTTAAGATCAAGATTTTAAACGGCGAATCGGAGTTCTGGTTGAAAGCCATCAAAGTAACATGAGAGGAAAAAAACGCAAACCTATAGAATTTCTAGACTTTTTTTTTGTTATCTAAAAAAGATAAGTTTTATTTTTTTAATAAAAAGATTAATTTATGAATAAAACGGAGCGAAAAATTGCATGTCATGAGAGATTCAAATAAGGCGTGATAAATAAAATGCGTGTTCTGGTATTATTTGTTCATGAGAGGGGAACTTTATGGAATCTTCCTTGCCAATTTTACACTCGTTTATGTGGTGGATAAAGCCGTATCGAAATGATTCCGAAGAACTATTCTGCGTGCGATTTTAATTTTACTCGGTAAACTTTCCGCGCGGTATTGGTGTGAGTGCAATCACAACGGAACTCGATGATTAGATTGGTGGAAGGAGGTGGATAGCCCATGAAGCCCATGAAGCTCATGAAGAATCAAGAGCACGAGACTACTACAGGCGCCACTGGATGACTTTACGAAATCGCATTTACAAAGGATGCCGCGGAGGATTTGGAAACCGACTCCAACAGCGTAATCTTACTTTCGTAAAGCAACCGAGACGACGGATTTTTAGAACGCTGGTAACGCGATGAGCCAATGTATAAAATGATAATCCCAATACTTTAGATCAAATTCTATCTCCTTTCTAATATCGATATATTTGAATGAGTTTTTTAATAATTTTAACAAAAAAATTGTTTAATATACAAAACATTCAATGTAATATATTATGCAATTTTTAATTACACACACACGTGTAATCTTTCAAACAGAAATCTATTATAATAATCGAAATTATATTTGGCCTAAAGACGATATGTATATTGTTTATTGTTTATTGTTTATTGTTTATTGTAGTAAATGGGAAAAAAATGTATACTATAATATATGTATACATATATATTTAACTTTGTACATGTATATATATTCTTAAGTTGCAAAACCGGTAATAGAGGCGCATGACTCTCGAGATGTTTGCTCGAGTTTTGGCCAACGATCCTCGCGTTTAACCACGTAAACAACGCCTTTGTTGGCTGCCGCGATTTCCATTTACGGATTCGACACGCGCCTCACAAAGGACTGCGCCGCCATGCTTCCGAGACCGGGGGATCGTGATGCGGAGCTTTCTATCCGATATTCAACAATGTAATGCGAGCATCGAAGGGTCGATTGATCGTCATGCTTTGTCTCTTTAAAGTCTCTCGAACTTTTAACGGTTATTCAAATTTTTTACGCATGCACAATCTCGATCGCGCGCGGAGAAATCTAATAATTATCTTTCAATAAAAATCTCAAAATTTATATATAATATTATATATCTATAATATTTTAATGACAAACCACATTGAAAAACTTGAACGCAATATTGAAAATTATTTTCGAATTCTGTTGCTCAGAAGAAAGGCTTGTTAAACATGATAAAAATTTCCAAAATTTAATATTACAAAGCTAAAAGTCTCATCGATAGATTTAATTCGTAGTTATCATTGTGTGCCAACTCAAAGGAATTTTGTAGACATAAGAAACCACTATCGTCATATTGGGATCGTTTACACGTCCGTACGGCGGGCACAAAATTAATTAACGTCCGCATATGCTTCGTGTCTCGTTTTTAAAAATTAGTAACGCGCCTCTTCTCTTCTCTCTTCGTGTTTCGCTTACCTTCTGTTTTGGTACCACGTTTTCACTTGCGTGTCCGTCAGCTGCAGTTTCGCCGCTAGCTCCATCCTGTCCTGCACGCTTAGATACTTTTGCCTCTCAAAGCTCTTCTCCAGAGTTTGAAGCTGGTGATCCGTGAACGCCGTACGCGCTTTACGCTGTTTCTTACTTTGTGCGGAGCCCAGGGAACTCGAAGACGAGCTTTTAGGATCATCCTCTTTGCCACCTGAAATTGCAAAACTGTTGATATTGAATGTCTTCTTGCTTTCCTACCGTCTCGTCGGCACAATTTGCAATTAGCTACAACGTTAGAGGAAAAGGCAAACACATATTCTAAATTATTGAGCACATATTAGCAAAAAGTATTTGAATATACGAAATTTAATTACAATAATTTTTTAAATTATTATTTATTATTATTATCATTCAATTATAATCATTTTATTGTTATTACTTTAGAAAATTATAAAATATATCCGTATGAAAATTATATTTCTCGTTTAAAATTGCAAACAAATTTTATATTTTAACTAAGTTTTTATTTAATATTTATACTGAAATTTTTTACTTAATATTTATACTGAAATCCTGTATTGTTCATGGTACTCATATATCAACGGAGGCAATTCTAGTACAAACGTTTTGCCAAAAAGATCGCTATGAAGAATCGTCGGTCTATCATCGGACCAAGGGAAGGACTGTAAAGGGCCGAGTGTGGCTTTTGTTTTCGCGGAGGGTGGAATCGATGCGCGTGGATTATACGCCATGGTCGTTGGCTGCATGGCGATTGCAGTTGCCTCTCTATCGACGAAAGAGAAGAGAGAGAGAGAGAGAGAGAGAGAGAGAGAGGGAGAGAAGAAGAAGAGAGGGAGAGAGAGACAGAGAGTATATGATCCTTTTGTTCTCAGTTCAACTCTCCGCGCAGCCGAGAGCCGATTGGCTGATATCGCGGATTGGACCACGCAGCCGCGTTGAGACGCCGCAAATTATCCCTCCGATACGTAGCCGTATCCGGAAAGAGATAGAGATAGAGAGAGAGAGAGGGGGTGGAATTCCCTGAGGAGACCGATTACACTAGGATACGAGTCACGCTCACACGCGGCACACAATCGCGCGCTTGTTCTTATTTCATCCCTCTTAAATCTCATATCACCTCATCATCCTTGTTTCGGTCATAGAAGGAAATAATAGGGGATGCGTGATTTTCCATTTTACGCGTCATTTTGATGAAGCGGAAAATTAAGGATTATTGGAGACGAATAAACGATATATGCATCAATAATGCGGTTTGTTTGGAAATGGAGGCATGTGTTTTGGATACCTAAAGGCCAATTTTCTCTTTTTAAATGGAATGTTATACTTTTTACGTCACCAATTAGAAGCGCAAATTAGATACGTCACCTTGTATATTTACCTTGTATATTTAACGCAAGAGAAAAAAAGCGTAGACTTTTAGGCATTAATGTATAATGATCATGATAGTATCTTTAGATATGGGTACTTAATTCCTACAAATATTGTTGGCACTATGGCTCCTGAGATATAATTTCCAAGCTGTGGTGTAACCATTTCGAATATTTTTTTTTTAAATATAGAAAAGCGTTTCAAATATCTTTTTCTTTCTTCTCAAGTATAGAAACGCCTCGTCAGATAGACCCTCCTTGAATTTATCCCGTAGCTGGGGAGGGTGTGTCTTGTCGCGAGTAAATCGAGCAACCTCCCGAGTAGTCCCGATCAGAAAACCATCGAGACTTAATCTCCCGAGGGAACGGAGGTCCGTACAGGCTTCTGAAAGTATCTAAAGGCCCGTTGTCGCGAGCTCATCGATTGGAACGGTCGTGGATGGCGCGATGGGAGAAGCATTCTGCTCGAGGTGGGAGAGAAAACCCGGGTGTATGTGTGTGGGATACCGGGGAATAATATAGAGCCGGAAGGAAGGCGGCGGGGGAAGAGAGAGAGAGAGGGAGGGAGAGGTCGGGAAGATAGAAAGCTCCGTGGATTGAGTTAACCCGGACGAAAGCGCGGCTCTTAGCCCCCGTTTGATCGGCCAGATTCGCTCGAACGGGTCCAGAACCCGCTGCGCCATGTTGGCTAACACGGCGCGCGCCAAGACTTGTTTGCGAGAGGGGATGGGGTGGTTTGAAGAAAAAAAGAACGAGAAAGAGAGAGGGGGGGGGGGGGGATAAGAGCGGAACGGTGGAAACGGAGGTTGGAAAACTAAATTTACTATGTGATACACTTAGAGCCCAAGAAAGGGGCAGGGGCAGGAAGTGGAGGGTGGGGGGTCCCTCCGAACCGAGCCGGTCGGAGTTCTACTTTCGAGAGAGACACTTCCAAGACGTTAGGCGGAACTTTTTTACCCCCCTCGCCCATTCCCCTCCTCCTGACCCGCGCTACGTTTCGCGCAGCGAAACTCGAGAACCATCCGCGGGAAACATCCGTCTCTTTTTTTTTCCGCGTTACACGTTCGTCTGCGTGGCACGTAAGCTCCCTTCTCCCCCCCTCCCCCGGACGCGGGGCTTATCTGTGTTCGCCTCGTCCTTACCGAGAACGTGTTCGCGCGCACCACCCTTTTTCACTTCGCGTTTTCACTTTGACGCGAAATGGCGACGCCCATGACGATCGGCTTGTGCGCAAAGTGGTTTCCATCCCAGAGTTGAAGTCACACGATCACCTGCGTTTCGATCTTTGCGTATCGTATACGAACGTTTCAGAGAAGGAATTAAAACACAAAGTATATCTATCTAAACTGACTTGGAATTAACCGTAAAATATACGGCAAAAGCAATAATCTGTGGAAATATGTATGTTTCGCGAATAATGCGTTACGAATAATCTCATTAACCTTTCGTGTCGAGACACTCATCTTTTAATCTCTATGTATTATTTTATAAAATTCATACAATAATGAAAAAACAGATATGTCATATGAACGTTTGCACAAAATAAGAATAAAAATATTATTAATTAAAATATTTTTTAAAATTATTATATATACAAGCAGCATTTTTTTGAAGGAGAAAAGAAAATAATATAAGAATTTAATGAATTAAAATTTAATATAAAATAATTTATTCTGAAATATCTATAAAAGAAATTTTGCTACGAATCAAAATTGATGTTATATCTGCATATGACTGTCGGCTGTATATTTGCTGTATGTTTGAGGGTTAAGAGAAAATTTAATACTGTTCGTCTAGCAAAATTCAAAAATTGTGAAATGGTAAAAAAGTTCTTTCAAGTCATTCATGTAGTAATTCATTCAACATTGTAATTTTATTTAATTTTGTAACTTAATAACTTTCTTCAACATGATCCATATCTTTTTTATCTGTAACAATAATTCTTTTCGCTCCGCCCTTCCTTTCTTTCTCTTTTTTAACGTCATAAATTTCACATAATTTATTACGCTATAGAGCTATAAAGCCAATTATTGTCACTTCCAATATTATTCAATTCATTGATAAAACATCACTCATCATACGTTCTCAAATCGTACGCTCAAATAAAAATTCAGCTCTTTAAAATGAATCTATTTTGCCAACAGGTAGAGAGCAATCTAGATTTGCTCGGCAGATTTTTCTCTCGCATGTAATTTCGGTAAAGTTTTCAAAATACTTTCAAGAGGTTAGCAGGGAGACGATCTGTCTAGACGTTAAAAAACTTAAGCATTCTCTTTTGGCAGCTGAGAGACTAGGTTTTCCTTTATCTTTTTAGTTTTCACTAATAAGATATCAGGTAATGACATCGGATATATGAGCCTTTGTTCATGATTATACAATGTGTTACTATAATTTTTTAGTTTTTTTTATCTTCAGTTCGTAAAATAAATTTTTAAATATTTTACACTTTTTTATTTGTGTATATTAATACATTAATCATGTGTCATTAATAATTTTTTTCTTTCGGTCCTAGATCTTTGTATCAATTCCAAGAATTTTCAAGCAGATGATGGCGTAATTTCGAAAAATTTTGAGGTGCCACGTATAAGATGCATAAAGATAATTTTTATTTATAACGATAAAAAGATTTAACAATTAATATGTAGTATATTTTCTTCCATACTTATGGCACTTCGAAAACGTTGAGATTATAATTAACGGTCCCGGTTTTTAATTTTTCAAGTAAAAAATTAACGTTTTAAGCTTGAACTCGTTTTTCCCCGTTCTTACTTTCGCGTGAATTAACGCTAACACTCGTGGAGAGAGTGTATCTCCGTAAGTTATGATGGTAAACATTCCGTTTCCACTGTTAGGGAGCGAAATGTATATTTTAAAGGTGGGTTGTTCGAAAACATGGCGCCCGTAACGGATGCGTCGCGTATACGCGCCAGTGAAAATCATGACGTATTTTCTCAAGTCGTATTAACGCCGAAGGAGAAAGAGCGAAGGAGAAAGAGCGAAGGAGAAAGACAGAGGAAGGGGGGTAGGAAATGAGAGGGTTAGGGAGAGGGGAAAGAGGGGCGGGCGTGGAACTTGCGTGCTGCAAGCATCGCCGCGGTACAATGTATGGCACATAAAAGTGAGATTAACAGGATGTTTATCGAGCAATTATGCGCCGCTGCAATTAGTGCCAGCATGTTGCCGTCGTCGTCCACGTCGCGGTCAAATCGTTCACGTCATTAATGGTAATGGTCTCCGCGATATTGCAGTGCGATTTATTATATAAACGAACGGTCCACAAATTTTAACGGAATATAATCAGAGATTGAAGTAAAAAATAAAATATCTTAAAAGTTATTAAAAAATAAGAACTGTATTGCATTTCTGTTTTTCTTATTAATCTCAAATCTAAATATGTAATAAAATTAAAACTAATATTGTAAATACGTATATAAAAATCTATAATTAATTAATTAGAAATTTATAATTAATTATAATAAACTAATATGTTTCAAAATTCTCTTGCGATACCTTTACATTTTTATTGCAAAGATCTTCGTCGAAAGTAATGGATTTTATCTTTGTTAAATATTCGAGTGATTGTTAATAATAAATGGTTTTCTATAAAAAGTAAAATCTTAAGAAATTAATAAAAAAAGAAATTGCATTGCATTTCTGTTTTTCTTATAAATCTCAAATCTAATTTATAATTAATTATAATAAATTAATATTTTTCAAAATTCTCTTGCAATACTCTTACATTTTTCTCGGGAAGATCTTTAATGATGGATATTTATATCAAGTTCGTCGAAAGTAATGGATTTTTTTTTCTGTTAAATATATT